CGATTGTGCCGGGAGGAGGCCCCCACGGGGCCTGCTGAGGCCTCAGGAGGCCTTGGAAGCCAGCGATGGTGCCGGGGGGAGGCCCCCACGGGGCCTGCTGAGGCCTCCGGAGGCCTCGGAAGCCAGCGATGGTGGCGTGGAGGGGACAGTATTTGCTCCATAAGACGCATACACTTCTCCCCCCATTTGTTTTGGGAGAAAAAGTGCGTCTTATGGTGCAAAAAATACGGTATATTCCATTACGTTATGTTGCATCATTCCCTTGTAAATGTTTATGAGAGTACAGCATAATTCATGCTCAGGATAAACCCATAGAAATCAGGGGAGTTTCAGTAAATGGTGGCAATATTGTCACATTGATTTCATCGAGTTTAATCTAAGAATGAATAAGGCTGGAGTGAACCTACTGATAGTTTCTAAAATTAATACAACATGTCACTCATCTGTTTAAATGGTGGCGAAATAAGGAACAGTAATACTATTTAAAAAATTAAAAAGAAACAGATGAGCAACATAAATACTAAACATCAATAAGTTATTCAAGCTGACATTTTGCTTTTGTACAAGTTTTTTGAAGAAAAAGATTGGAAGCACACATTAATACTATACGTATTATATTTTACTGTTCATTGATTTTATAGTAAAATAGTATATTACTATTTAATATACCCCCCTTATATCCATGTTTCTACATCTTTAAGACACTTGCTTTCATACAGTCAAATTTATTGCTTTCTCTGTTAGATAATCCTCTAAAATTCAGTTTGTGACCACATTGGCCAACTTGTCTCTATCTGATTTAGATGTCCGAGGACACTATTAAATGGTAGATGTTGTTCTTTTGGATCTCTGAATGACTTTCGCTGAAGTGTTTCAGTGTTTTATCTTTCTCCTGGGTAGACAATATAGCAGATGATATAATGGTATTCATGCTCATATTTAGGGAGGGTAACCTTGGCAAAGCCCTTGTCCTGTTCTGTGGCTGTATATTGATGTTGGGAATAATCTGGCAGATAAGGTAGAAAGGGGAGAGTTAAAATAAAGTGTGTATAACAGCTGCACACATTTGTGTGGTACAAAATTAGATTGGTGTCTGTACTGAGGTACAACATTTGTTTGGCGTGCATACTGAGTTTGGGCATTCTTGCTCTTTTACACCCGCAACCACCACTTCCTTTTGCCATAATAGCAGTCTGTCCCTGGTGCCATTTTGACCACAAGCTCCAGTCCAAGCTTCTCTCTATAAGTGTATTGGAATGCATCTGAACAAAGACACATTTTGCCATAGTAATGTATCTTCTTAGGGCTCTGTAGTTCTCTTGACATACAAAATTAAACCATGTCAAAATACGAGCATCTTAATGAGTTCTCCCTCCACCCCCGTATATCTTTTCCAAAGACTTCCCATTATACATACACATCAGGTTTTGCTTGTCAAGATGTTTTTAGCGACAGGAGGCAAATCATAAATACCCTTCACTATGCCTGTCACTCAATTCACAATAAAACCTAATCTTCCCATCAACATGTCCAAACTATCTGTTTACAATGTTATGAAGGTTTTCAAACAACTCATCACAGTGCTATATAAAGATGTAGCTCTCCCCCATTTTTTTTCCTGACTCCCCATCGCCTGCAGTTGATTAGTCATGTATCCCTGGGCAGAGAAGGTGTCATCTGTTTGCAAATCAGGATATTAGGATTCAGTCCACAGTGGTTAAGATTTCAATGGGTGTAGATCCTTTGGAGATTTATGCCAGATGGGCTGTGGCATCATTGCATTGTCATACAGTAATTGTCATCATATTAGCTATTTACATTTGTATTTGCATGGATGGATGTAGGTCTGCAAGGGGTTATGGAGATAATAGGAATGCAAGTCATAGAATATTTTACCTATTTTGCTTCTGAAACCATATGCGGTCCTACAGAGGCAGCTTGGATCCCAAAGGCCATGGAAGAAATCTGACAGTGCTTAGAAGCCATCAAGTCTGCGTCTCCATTTGTTACCATTTGAATCACTCTCATCAGATGAGAGTTTGTGAATACTAGAATAAGAATTTGCAATATTATTTACAACACCCAGTAGAAACATATTAAATCTTGGTATCTCCTATTGCAAGCTTTATAGAACTAGCCATACTTTGAAATTTGACTGTGGTCTGCTCATAGCTAATTTCTTAGCAACCCAAACTGTAGTAACGTGCTTTTTTGCAAAGGGTTGTTGAAAACTACACTTTCTTAAAAATTCAAGGCACATCGCTTAATTTAATCATATATGTATAAGTAGGACTAACCCCAAGCAACTCCTTTTGATATAAATTTACTTAGATGTGAAGCAGAAGACATTCCTGCTAAAGCCTCATGCAACTAAATGAATGAACTGGTAGGGTTTGCATAGGTTCATAAGGGAAGATCCTGATATATTTTCTTCCCAAACCCTTTATGCAGGATTTTAATAAGTTTAATCAATGAAGTTTTGATTCAGAGCACATCCTTGAAAATCTATCCAGGTCAGGAGTTTTGTATTGTTTGAATGCTCCTATCAACTAAAAGCTGACTTGAAAATTCCAGCATTTTTAAAGTACAAATGATTACACGTATATGTACAAAGTCTCCGCTTCTTCTCTCACACACATGCACACACTTCAGAACTCAGACTTGAGTGTGTGTGGGAAACTATAGCTCCTAGAATCCTTAAGGGTTTTTTTTTAATATTTTTTCAAAAAATGTAGTCTGTGGTGCAGCAGTTAAACTGCAAGACTGCAGTGAAGGCTCTGCTCACAACCTCAGTTCAATCCCAGTGGATCCAAGTATCCTGCTCAAGATTATTTCAACCTTCCATCCTTCCAGGGTTGGTAAAATAAGTACCCAGCTCACTGGTGGGCAAGTGTTTTTTACATGTTGTTTGTATGTGCTCTAAACCCTTATAGAGTGTCCTAACATTAGGGGGTGGTATGTTAGTCGAAGCAACAACAATAGCAACAATATTTTTCTTTTATAGGTGAAAGTGCATCTGCTGGGGGGTTTTTTAATTCTTAAAAAAACTCAAAATTCTGTTGGTGTTTCATACATGCATAAGTGAAAGAGTAGAAATTATGTTTGCAAATAGACACTAATTAATTAGGTCCTGATTGAGCAGTAGTCACACAACCAGGAATGTGGCTGGTATTTCATTAATTAGCAACAATTCTCCACACCAGTTTATGTGATTTCACTTCTATACATATAAACTGCCAACAAGTTTCCAGCCAACAATTTTTGCCATTCTTTTTTCTTAGAAAAAGGATGATGGGTATGGGAGGGTTGATTATTCACCCAGCAATTAAAGAATAGAAGGTATCTTACAGATTCATTTGTATGGCTGATATCATGGGTTTTTCCTATTGTTTCTCTTATTGTTTGTTCGTTTATTTGACTTCTTTCTTTTGTTTCTCCCCACAAGAGAACTGGAGTTAGCTATTAATACAGTTTGTTAGAGAAATCTTAGCAATTTTAAATGGCAAATCTAGATTGGAAAAAGAAAGATGCTTCTCTGCTGATGGGTTCAATGCACTATGAGGAGACATTATTAAAACATTGCCATGTTAACATGAATATTTGGTAGACCGTCAAGGTACCGCTATTGCTATCTATCTCCTTTGCAACCTATGCTATCAACTTTGGGTCATGCTCTATATATTTTCAGAGAATGTTGCTAGGTGATGTCTAGCAACATACAACTCACTGCTGTTTGCATTTTGATGACCTGTGATCCACTGTCATATCGTGACTCTACCTTGGTCTGTTTTTCTTGTAGCATCAAAAGTAGCATCCAGATGGCATTCTGGGTAGCATCTGCAAATACTGCCTCCAGCAATATGTGCAGCTTGCTTAAGCAAGGCAGGATGACTATTCCATATTCCACATGGATTTTTTTCTATCTTTCCATTTAGTGATGCATTTATTTTCTTAGGAGCTTGTGTGGTATTTGCTGGATGGCCGTTGTGACATGCAGATGTCTCTGCAAATAAAATTCTCCCCAGCTGTGGAAAATTGCACAACAAGCATTAAT